AAAAACAGTAAGAACAAATTTAGGTATTTAAGGTTTCACACACGAAACCTCCACAAAGATACACCAATATATTAAGGAAATAAGACCGAAAGGTTAAAGCATAGGAGGAAGATAGGCCACGATATCATTAATAATCGCTACACTATTAGCGTCTCTATCCGCGTACTAGAGGCGAAGCGCGGCCGAAATATTATCGCGGAAGGTTAGCTTCGCAACCCGCCAGGAAGCAGACATAATATCTGCAGGGGACAAATAAGGGACTAGCGAAGCCTCCTATAAGAGACAGTAAATATCAGACGCGCCAGGGCTAGGGTTATCGATAGGAATAGGGAGATAACCGGCCAAATATATCTAGTAAACGGCGAAGTCAACCTACAGAATTATTAGCGAAACTTATATTAAATAGGCTTCTAACTCATAGGCTTAGTGGCACGCGTAGTGCCTAGGTTATAAATACTAAAGTGACGAGACACTAGGTATAGAAAGTTAGTGATAAGGGCGCGAACTGCCTCCTCGGCACGGACATAAATAGCACCAGACCAGATAGGGTCACTAATAATAAGCTTACTATCTTCGTCCGCCTCTTTAGCAGACTTAGTGACAACAGCCTAAATATCCGCGATATACTTAACCAAATTAACTATATTAATTAAGTCACCCTATATACTAAGGGGAACCTAGATAGGTTAGCAACGAAACGTGACCGAATAGAAAAGGTAAATAAACCGAAGGGCAAGGACGATTAGCACGGAAATATACCCGGCACAGGACAGAACTTAGCGTATCGCGTATACAAACCACCGAGAAGGCGCTCTGCCTATCCTAGTCTCGGAGGGAGCGGCGGGCGCAGGGAACACACTAAGTAAGCTCGGGGATCAGAGACACGTCCCGCAGAGGGCGATAGCTAGGGGACAAAGGGGCAGATATATTAATTCGCGAGCGAAACGACAACAAAAATAGAGAAAAAGAAAAGAAATAAAGAGGAAGCCAAACTAGCAACGAGTTACGGCCAAAGAACGAACAAAAAGAAGTCGAAACGATACCGAATATAAGCACTAAGGAGATAGAAGAGAGTTATTAAAGGGGGAAGAGTAAGGGGAGAGAAGTGAGGAAATATATAAGTAAAGATATTAATAACACATATAAGTAAACAACAATAACACGCTAGAAAACTACCGATACGCGACCGGAAAAGACACGCGCAAACATATATTACTATTAGCCAAACCAAATACACGACCTCGCGCGGCACAATAATATCATTGCCCTATCGCGGCCGGGTCTGCCGCGAAACTGGAGGGAGTCTGATACTATTCATAACTCCTACGTGACACACCTTAAGTATAACGACACCCAGGGCTCATCCCTATCACATAATCCGACCCCGGGGGTCACGTGCCACCAGATAACGTTATACCAAAGAACGACCAAAAAAAAAAAAAATTTTCGATTACCTCCGGGGCCCGTCGTCTCTAGAAGGGGGAGGTAGTTATAAAGGAATACTGAGGACTAGCGGTGAAGGTTTGCCCCGCAGTGGAATAAGCAAGTCTCGGACCTAATTCGTACTTAAATCGAGAGGGTTTCCAATTAATCTAGACTTAGCAAGAATCAGTCTTGCTTCTACAATACTACACCTAGTCCAGACATCCTTTCTTACCTAACCGACAGGCTTTCTATCCTGAACACATAGATCCTTTACACTAATATCCCTTATTAGTGCTTTTTACCTCGCTGTCGCCGACCTCGCCGCTACGAGTGTCGTGCGAAGGCCTTTTATTATTTAATAACCTTAATTAGAGGTATTTTCTATTAAAGACCTTTATTTAGGTACCTTCTCCGGTCTCTCTTATATCTCTTTATCGCTATAATAGCTACAGATAATTACGGTAAGATCACCGACTATATAGGGAAGCTTAAAGGCTCCTAAAATTATTCTAACTAGCTATTTAAACTTAAGTGAGCTCTTAAATCTCGCGATATATATTATTAGGAGATCCTTATTAGTAAGGATTATCCTTAATTTATTTCTTATCGTACTATCCTTAGTAAGCGTATACTTTGTAAGTATATAGTAAAGGAATATAATAATAAGGCTAAGTATCGACGACGACTACGCTCTCTTTTAGGCTCTTATAAGGATAATAAGTCGCTAGCCACTATCTTCCCTAATATACTATCTATTTAGGAGCTTAAGGACTTTATTTATAAGTACGATAAACTAAATAAGGAATTTTAAGAGTAGGAAGTGAGATCTCACACGCTGGTGCTCGCGCTTAACCCATAGGCTAAAAGCCATAACGAGATCTCTCGGTACCGAGAGATCCGTTGCACCAGTATATATATTAGGTAACCACCTTCTGTGATCACAGAAGCTATTATAATCATAGTCCTTAATATCTTTATCTCTTAATCTTTGTCTCTTACCTTGACTACGACCTAATATAGTATATTAAATAGACTAAAGACGCTTTCGAAGCCTTTAGGATTATCGAAAAGCTATATAGTGAGATCTCACACGCTGGTGCTCGCGCTTAACCCATAGGCTAAAAGCCATAACGAGATCTCTCGGTACCGAGAGATCCGTTGCACCAGTATATATATTAGGTAACCACCTTCTGTGATCACAATAGCTATCTTATATAATAGACTATCGCTACTAAATAGGCTAAGCTTAAGTCTACTATCTATAAACTAGGTCTGTAGAGCGTATAATTTATAGTAAACTAGTAGCGTACCTATATAGAAGTAGACTAAGCACTAAGCGATAAGTATCTTCCTATCGCTATTTAATTCCCTATATTTATTTATACCGTAGGCTTTTACCCTAATACTATAGTTTAGCTTTAGGGTACCTAGAAGTTTAATTTTAAGGACAATAGACTTATAGAGAACGTTTTCGCTAACTTTAGTACTACTAAAGACTAGTGTTATAGTAATATAAAGTAATATCCTACCTTTTCTTCTTATACTATTATGATAACAGGGCCTTCTTGTTAGGGGAAAACGGTTATGTTACCTAACTTTTTCTGCCGTACAGACCCGCATTAGTCCGCACGGCTACTATATATCTATTCCTTCGTATACTTACTAAATAGAATATACTTTCCTATCTCTAGAACCTTATTAGTAATATATCCTTACTTAGCTAAACCTTCTATATTTAGCTAGGAACAGAAATATTACTATTAGATATATCTCTATTCCTATAAACGATCTCTTCTTAAGCGACTAATTAAGATCGCTTATATATAATACTAAAAGGAATCCGAAGTTCTCTTTAATTATTTTAGTTACTATTTATAAGAATATAAATATATATATTCATAAAATAGCGATATAAGGAAGTTATATACTAAAAGGATTAGTACCGAAATAACCTACTAAGGCTATAGATAGCAGAGATTAATCGGAGAAAACCTAAGTTTAATACTTATTGTATCTATATATATTAATAAAGATAGGTATTGGAATATAGACCAATGCTACATAGAAAGATCTATCCTTATATTCAACATATAAGACCAGATTGCATTGATCACGTGACCAGATTTTTCTTCTATCAAAATGATATTTTGACCACTTCTGATTCTGGTCCGCGGCCCTCCCCCCGAACGATAGGCGGGACCATTTTCCTTTAGGGGTAAATGGTCCGCCTTCAGGCATGAATGGTCCGTTCCTTCGGGGGTGCCTTCGGGCATGCCTTGCCCGCGGACTTCGACCATGGTCTTCGGACCTCGGTGAACAGACTTCGACCCTCGGTCCCCTTAAGGATAGGCGGACCACTTTCCCTTAGGGGTAAAATGGTCCACCTTTGGGCATGCATAGCCTGATCCTACGGGGATGCCTTCGGGGTGGCTTAGACCGTCGATCCTTGATATCATTCCTTTCGCTTCTCTTCGGTTCCCTTCTTTGCCACCTTCATTATGTTGCTGCCTAGTGTTTGTACGTCATTTGTATATCATTCTAGACGTCATTTCTAGGCTATCCTAGCCTATAAATACGTCCTTCTTTTCTAGCAGATAGAATAAAGTCATTTCCACTTTCCTAAAGTCATTTTCCACTTTCGAAAGTCATCTCTACCTTCTTCCTTTGATCCTTAGGACTGTGGTTCTGCCTTCGTTTATGTTATATCTGCTTATAGTCTATCCTACGACCTTTGACCTTCTTCCTTTGTCCGGCACCGACTGACCTAGCCGGACTAAGGTTGATCCCACGGACTTAAGGGGCCACGATCTGCTTCGTGGTAGCTTTACCCTTATAGCCCGATAATACCTAAAATATAATTTTTCGGCCTAAAACGTGACTTTTCTGCTAAAGTCAGTGACGTGAGGACCCTACGGGTCACCCGCGGGTAACCCGAGACGGGTCTGGCACCTCTATATCCCGACCTTCGGGTCCAAAAGTCAGACCCTTACCCACCCGCGGGGCGTGTCGGGTGGAGGGTCCTTAGGGTCACCCGCGGGTAAGTGCCAGGTCTAATTTTAATGCAATCACAATGTAATTGCAATACAATCAAATGGGAAACCCTAACCCATACTAACGGCTGCTGACTAAAATGCAATGCATTGCAATTCAATTGCCTCCATGGGATAGTGGTGGGGGACGCAAAGAGGTAGGGAATTGGATGGGGTGGCGGGTTTGGTGTGGATTACGTTAGTTACAGTGGAATTCGAAACAGTTTACCCCCTCGACACACGCTTTGTTCCTTGGGTCGTACCCGAAACGGGCTCAGTTCCAATTAGGCTAGGCGGTATATTATAGCCCACTCAAAGATGGTGTATCTTTACAACTAAGACAAGATAGGTTTAGAGTTGTATTGGGTACGCGTGTCTGGGGGGTAAACTGTTTTCGAACTTTACTGTACAGGAATACGGGTTAAGATTCTTTCCTGGAAAATGACAAGTTGTGGATGTGAACGGTCCGCAATATCATTATAGATGAGTTGAAGACCGTCAGAACAGCAGAAAAACGAACCACACGATAAATCGCAAGGGGTCAATTTAGACTTCCGTCTTCGGGCCCACAGTCTCCATGTGGGCTGCCCCTGGATCAAGGCGCTTCTCACCCGCTTCGGCCTCAAGCTGAGCGAGGGTGCCCCGGCGGGAGTCGGGAGCGACATCGCGAATATCAGTGAAGTGGACGGTAGGCACAAAGCTAGTCGACTTCCAGGCGACAGGGACCTTGGCGTATAGCTCGTCCACTTGTTCAAGACTCAGGCCCTTAGTCTCGTAGATACATGTGTAGACAAAGCCCATACAGATGACGCAGAAGCCGCCCCAGATAAAAAACACCTTGGACTGTAGGTTGGCATTGCCGGGTCCACTGTTAACCATATAAGGGGTGGCATAGGCGATTGCCCAGTTCAACAGCCAGTTCGTGGCAGTGGTAATAGAGAGGCACTTAGCACGGGCCTTGAGCGGGAATACCTCACCAGTGACGACCCAGGCGACGGGGCCCCAGGAGCAGGCGAAGAAAAAAATATACACGCAGACGAAGGCAATCAGCACCTTATTAGCAACGATCGAGCTTGCGGCCGTGCCAACTATAGCGACAATCAGCTGTGAGATACTCATACCGATCGCACCGAACATTAGCAGAGGCCGACGGCCCCATTTTTCAACCATCCATAGGCCGGGGAAGGTCGATACCACGTTAATAACGCTAGTTATCATGCTAATGACGAACGAGTTTGAGATTCCCGAGTTCTGGAAGAAGGAGGTGCCATAGTAGACTGCACGAAATTAGCACTTGAGCCCGATAATAACAAGATAGGTTCATAGGTCCCATACAGATAAAATTCACTCCTGTTAACTGCTGTAGGCCTTGGAGGGCACAACCGGTCGCTAGGCGTTTTCCAATAGATCCTTTGACGATATCTAAGTAGCTTGCTGAGCCCAAACGCATTTCATATTCGTGGTTAGCTTGGATTTCAGCCAGTTCCTCGAAGATAGCCGGATGGTTGATATCGAGACGGCGGAGGCGAGCCAGAGACTTCACGGCTTGATCGTGCTTGTCCTTCTTAATCAGATAGCGGGGCGTCTCTGGAAGTAGCAACATTCCGACAACAAGAATAATAGCCCAAGCAAACTGCACGGCAACGGGAATCCTGTAGGAGCCCGTATCATTACGGTTCTTAGTGGCATTATCGACGATTGCTGCTAGTAGCAAACCGATTGTAATGGCCAGCTGGTACGCACCGACAATAGTGCCTCGAATCCATTTGGGAGCTGTCTCAGACTGATAGAGGGGGACTATAAAGTATCACGGTTAGACAAGTCATAGCTGAGGAATACGATGGGAGCCAGCATACTAGTTGCAGAGAGAAGGCCGACACCCATGCCTGCAAAGAATCGCCCTGCCACAAACAGCGGAATCGCCTCAGCGGCAGTCTGGAGAATGACACCAAAGCAGAATACACAGCTATTAATGATCATGGCAAGTCGCCGACCAAAGATATCCGCAACAGGGGCAGCAAACAGTGCTCCGAAGAAGGTGCCGGCAGAGAGCAGGGAGACGATCATTGAGGACTGAGAGGAGGTGATGTCGGGAAGACCATCCTTGGGGTTGATGTAGCCGGTCGAGAATAGCTCTCGCCAGTATTTCATGGCGAGAATACCGCCGATTGTGCCGGTGTCATATCTATGAGACGATATTAGTCCGAATAGGGCAGACGGCATAGCATGAATAGTAGCGCATACCCGAAAAGAACACCACCAAAAGCCACGAACAAGCCAATGATGATAGCCGGAGCGGCAGAGCCGGAAGTACCTTCCGGCTTCTTTAATGCAAAGCCCATGATGAAGAGTACCAGCTTGAGGTTGCAGTGGAGGGGTTAAATAGGTCCACAAACTGGTGTTGCAGATTGGCTCTTGGAGAATGGTTCAGAGTTGCGACCTTGAGTTCGAGAAGACAAAAAAAGATAGTGAGAAAAGCAAACTGAAAGAAGGACATGCGGTTCTTTTTATATTTCCATGGGGTCAAATCTGGGCGAAGCTAGCAATACTCAAGGGTCCATATTTCCAAGGGTTCATACCCCGGATCATTACCCCCCCTAAGGTTACTACACGACCCACATAAGATCTAAGACAGATCGACCATTTTCCTCGTCGGTTATCATGAACAGAACTGGCAAGAAAACTGTTCTAGCGTCTTTTAAAACCCTCACCGACGCCTGATTCAAAAATTCTATGGCAACTAGCAACTGACAAATCCACGTCTCGCTTTGAAAAAAATTTCTCGCCGGTCAATGCGCTAGCTCATGTCCACCTCCACACGGGCACCACGAGTTCTATGCGCTCGGGTCGTTCATACGGTAAATTTTGTGCGTTTCTTTTTCTTCCCTCGAAAGGACTTCGGTTTTCACACTGTGCCATCCACGTAAGACCAGAAAGGGTTCTGGTTCTAGATGGATACCACTTACCTACCTACTCATCTGCACAATCAGTGGGACCTTGGAAAGATCTTCTCCCGAGTGCTTTCATTGCATCCACGACTCATCCAAAGGGTTGGCCTGAAAACTAATACTCAATGTGGGGATTTTTTCTGTTCCTCGGACTATTCACTAGATTTTCCGAAACTTACCCGATATTTCTCCGCATCCGGGGAGTTTTCGGCAGTTATTTGTAACGGGGGTGATCCGAGCAAGCAGAAATTCGATCGAGGAGAGAAAAGTATATATGTACCCTGTGAAGCTTTACCGCCTAATTTTACGAACACTGAGCCTTTGAGTGGACGAACTTTTCCTGTGGGCAGTATCATTAGCTTTTTGCGGGGAATAAGTAGAAAATCGCTGTGGAAAATTTGTAAACCGAGAGAAGAGTATGATTCAGCCGTAGAATTTTTTTTTTTCAACGCACTCTATGTCTTTGCGGCCCGTGTCAAAGCGCGCTACAGGATGCCGTGGCATGCTAACACGAACAACTGCAAAGTAGTTACCTTTCGCTAATTCGTGACCTAGTGATGATGGCCGGCTCCTTTTCGGGGGAGTACAACCGCGTCCCGAAGAAACCCCTAGAGCGCCGAGGTTGTTCCTTCTATGCCCAAGTGTTATGCCCGCTGGTGGTCAAGTTTGAGGGGCGTAAGTTTGAGTTTCTCCGAAGAAACCCGGAGCGGTGCAGTCCTGTAAAGGTTTTGCTAAATCTACCGCCCCCCATTTGCGAGCTTATCACCAATGAAGAACCAGCTACTGTTTGCTAGCAGAATAAGGAGCGTTGCGTTTTAGCGTCCCAGTCTTTTTTAATTTCCCCAGACCTAGTCCCCGTGGGGATCAGGTAGATCGGAGAATGTCTGCTCTATGAGGACTTGGGCGGTTGGCTCACATATAAATATGGCCGTGTATTGCCCGCATCTCAAGGAATCTACAACCATTTTACAATGATTCGAATCACTAAGGCCCTTGCGGTGGGCTTTTTGGCGGGCATCGCAAATGCCTTCAACTATGACCAGTCCTACCGTGGCCAATATCATTTCTCGCCACAGGAGCATTGGATGAATGACCCCAATGGTCTTGTATATCACAATGGCATCTATCATTTGTTCTTCCAGTACAACCCAGGAGGTATCCAGTGGGGGAACATGTCCTGGGGCCATGCTACCAGCAAGGATCTCACCCATTGGGAACAACAGCCCGTCGCTCTCCTTGCCCGGGGATATGGCGGGAATATCACCGAGATGTACTTTAGCGGAAGCGTGGTCGTGGATGTGAACAACACTAGTGGGTTTGGGAAGCATGGCAAGACCCCTATGGTCGCTATGTATACATCCTACGTAAGCACCCCCTCCCATCCCCCCGGGCGCCACCAACAAGCAAATGAATACCTGGAATAGAGATGACTAATACATCTCTTTTTTTAAAGTACCCTATTGCGCAGACGCTACCAAGTGGAAAGATCATTCAGGAGAACCAGCAGGCCCAGTCTATCGCCTCCAGTCTGGACGGTGGTATGACGTGGACCACATTCGATACCGCCAACCCGGTTATCTACAACCCTCCCGCACCATACCAAGATCAGTACGAGAACTTTCGTGATCCCTTCGTATTTTGGCATGACGAGTCGCAAAAGTGGGTTGTTATCACCACTCTAGCCGCACTGCATAAGCTCGCGATTTACACTTCCGACAACCTTAAGGACTGGGTGCTGGCTAGTGAATTCGGTCCTTATAATGCCCAAGGCGGTGTTTGGGAGTGCCCAGGTCTTTTTAAGCTACCCCTTGACGGAGGGAAGTCCACGAAATGGGTCATCACGAACGGACTCAACCCCGGTGGTCCTCCCGGCACGGTTGGCTCCGGAACACAGTACTTCGTAGGTGAGTTTGACGGAACCAGCTTTACTCCCGACGCCGATACTGTGTACCCTGGAAACGCAACAGCCAATTGGATGGACTGGGGCCCAGACTTCTATGCTGCGGCTGGCTACAATGGCCTCTCTGTTGACGCCCATGTCCACCTCGGGTGGATGAACAACTGGCAGTACGGCGGGAATATTCCCACCAACCCGTGGCGCAGCGCCATGTCCATTCCTCGGCACCTAGCTCTCAAGACCATTGGGGCCAAGACGACTCTCATTCAGCAGCCCCAGGAAGCCTGGTTTTCTATTGTGAGCAAGCAGCCGGCCTATTCGCACACCTACCGCTCTGTCCCGGCTGGCATCGTCAATGTGGGCACTACTGTGGAGGCGATCAAGATCGACTTGAGCTTCTCTACTGCTTCGACGGCTTCGGAGTTTGCCATTGCTGTTCGGGCCTCCGCTGACTCTAACGAGCGGACCCTTGTCGGGTACGACTTTGTCAACAAGCAGGTCTTCCTTGATCGCACCAAGTCTGGAGATGTGTCGTTCGATAAGACTTTTGCAAGTATCTACCGCGGACCACTTGCACCGGGCGTCGATGGCAAGGTACACATGAGTATCTTTGTCGATCGGGCTAGCGTGGAAGTTTTTGGCGGCCAGGGTGAGACCACATTGACTGCTCAGATCTTCCCGAGCAGCGACGCAGTTAACGCCCATCTTGTGTCGACCAGAGGTGCTACCAAGGAAGTCAAGCTTGACATTTATAATATTGCGTCGACCTGGAAGTGACAGCGCCGACCGTCAGCAATATGTTTACTAGTCAAAGATAAACCATAATACATTCCTTATTTAACCTTGAATATGTGTAGTCTAGTGTGGGGTTCCGCCCTGAAATGGAACTAAAAAAGAGAATGTGGTCTTTAGGCGTTGACTACGGGCCGGGGCTTTTGCCTATAGACGAGCCAACCTGTTCTGTATATAGACGGGTCCGCGGAACAAGAATCAGGAAGGTGTTATCTGCACAAGAGCAGCCGAGGAAGCTTTTGGAGAGACGAAACGATGCTTCTTGGACGCTCCTGTGCTAGGCCTTTATGACCCATCAAGAGATTCGCAGCTAGAGACGGACGCATCAGGGTACGCTATCCCTGGAATCTATTCACAGAAGCAAGACGGTGGCAATTCGTCGATCGCATGGCTGGACCAAGAAAGTAGCCCTAGGAATGGTACAGGAAATTAATGCGGATCTGAGGGATTACTATTTGCATCAACTGTCAGACTTCCGCTCGTATCACCTAGTCTACATAGATTAATCAGGCTGTGACAAACGGACTGGCTTCAGCAGGACAGTCTGGTCTCCCCGCGGGGTGGCACCTGTCCAGGCTTGCCGATCTCAGCGGGGTCAGCGGTATCAGATTCTCCCTGTGGGTTCTCAGAATGGCATCTTGATGTCTCCAGCCTTTCAAGGATCGACTGATGCTAGCATGTTCGGGGAGTTTATTGAACAGCTTCTCCGTTATTGCGGTCAAAGGCCGGAGCCAAGTTCTGTCCTTATCACGGATAAAGCGTCTTTACACTATACTGATAGAATAAGGGAGCTGAGCACAAATCCTGGAATCAAGCTGTTGTATTTGCCACCGTACTCCCTGATCTTAACCCGACCGACAAGTTCTTTACAGAGCTCAAAGTGTTTGTGAGATACAATTGGCAAAAACATACATATCAAGATTTCAAAGATTTCCTTAAATAGAGCCTGGATGTCGTGGGGCTAGAGAAGAAAGTGCAGAATGTCATTTTCGACATGCAAATGTTGAGGTCAAAGAGCAATGAAAATAGATGTTGAAATGGGAACGGCTCGATGGCTGTCTGGCGATGCAGACTGGACAACACACACACACACACTGCCTGTCTGGTGTAGAGGATGCTGGATGAGGCCGTACTGATGCCCTGTTGCGGCCGTGCGGGATAATCTTAATACTATATTATGGATAGAAGAAATTGGGTGAATCCTGAATGAATTAGGTAGATAACTTGTCTCCCTCTAAGTGTGTCTAGAGATATACTATGCACTGCAGATATTAAATTATGCCTAAGGCCATACATAGGCTTATTATATCACTAATTCTCCTACTATATACTACCCCTCCCTATAAAATTAACCGTCCTATAGTTAAGCGCAGTTAATTTAGAATACCTAAGCCACTTTAATAAAAGTAAAGAAAGATAGGACCAGAATACCTATTCCCTATCGCCGCGGATATTATATCTCTTCCTTATTATTATTATCCTCCGGAGGTGCAACTTCTAGATTAGGGGGGACTAATATATAGCCCTAATATCTTACGGTAGAAGAAGGAATCTTTCCCGAATACTAGCTTCTCCGCCTTAATTATATCTCTGAATAATTAGGTATATATTTATTGCGCCTTCCTCCTCTATAAGATAATATAGGCGGTTACTACTACTTTATCCGATCCGAAGAGAATATCTAACTTAGCTAATACACTAGGGTCTGTTTAGCGGCTACGACTAACTAAGTATTCAGAGATTAAACCTTCCCCGCGGAATCGTAGCGCTATAGGGAATATATACTGTAGATAGCTATATATACTACTTATAAGCCTTAATAGAGTTCTTAGAGCTTACGTAAGGTCTTAGTGTGCTATAGATACTTCTTCCTACGTACCAGACTCTAGAGTATCCAGAGTTAAGTGGTTATCTCTAATATATATAAATTATAGTAAAATACTTCTCCGCCTCTTAGTTATAGGGCCTATCGACCTATAAGGGATACTAGGTAAACTAATTCGGATATCACTAGCTATATAGATCTCCTTTACTTAGTTAGTGCTATATCGCTTAGTATCTTCTAGGGTCTAAAGATAATTATTAATCTTCTGTATAAAGCTATCCGTAATATTCGTTCTATCCTATACGAGAGCCTACCACTTCTGAATATAGCGATATATACTAAGTAGAATCTTAGTATAGTTCTATTTATCTTTATTATCTAATATTAGACTACCCTATAGGATTATGCTACCTCGTTTAGTCTACACTAAGTTATTCAGATTTATATTAATATACCTAAAATAAGTCTGTTCCTTAGGTATAGTACTCTTTACGTAGTACGGGAAGGAGATTAGTTAGTAAGCGTAGTCTAGCCAGAAGAAAATATAGTATGTATAGTACGCTAGATCCTAACGGATAAGCTATTAAATAATATCGTACTATATATTCCTTAACCACCTAAGACGAGGCTTACCTATATAAGGTAGATAGTGGTAGTTATATATATCTATCTCCTTATATATAAGAGTAAGAAGGCTACCTAGATAATACCTATCGAAGTCCTTCTTTAACTAGCTAAATAACTACAGAATAACTATACTCCCTCGCTCTTATATTTATAACTTTAATATAATAGGTATAGGCGTCGTAGGGTCGGGAGTAGAAGATACCCTATAGTAGAGGCTTTCGAAGAATAACTAGGTTACCTTACGATAGTCAGCGATAATAGGAGGATTAGCCTAATACTTAAAGCGGTAGAAATCTAACTATAACTTATTAGTATCTAATAGAAATTACGTCCGGTTCTCCTTTACTATAGTGTCTTAGTCCTTAGTATATTAGTAAATAAAATTAATTCGCACCGCTAGTGCTACGTGGTCCTTACTAGTACTATATATATCGAATAATTTAAATACTCTCTTCGTATAAGGTAAATAGATTATATCCTTAGTAAAGATTAAATCTAGTTCCGGAAGGAATAGCTTTCTAATACGCCTAAGTATTACTAACTTTTATCTATTTATAGTGTCCGTAGGAAGGGCTAAAGTCTTATTTATAGCTACTCTTTAGGTAATATAACCGTATTTAGTAGTCTCCTTTCTCTCCTACGAGGGGTTATATTCTTTATCACTTTTTAATAGGTAATTATTAAGAAGTAACTAAGCTATAGAAAGATTAGAGATTGCACTAGATAAGTCACTAATAGATATTAGGTCGGCTATATATTCCTTATCTAACTCTTTAAGCTATATCGCTATATCCTATATATTATTAGGTATAACACTCTTAGGATTATGGTTATCTATCGCTTTAGTATTAGTATTAGCCTTATCCTCTGTCTTAACCGTAGTAATAAAAATAAACTATCCTAAAAGAGTAGTCTAGCCTCCCGGTTCGATAATAGGTAGATCCTAGCCGAAGCCTACTTCGTAGTAGTACCTATCTTAGTCTAGTTATAGTCTATACCGAATAAGATCCTCTTATCTAAGGGCTAAGGTACACTTCCGGAGGAGGGCCTTTAAAAGATCCCCTTAAATAACTCCTTTAGTATTTCGGATATCTCTGCCTAGCGATAATAAGCGAGAGAGAACTTCGTTATTAATAAAGAGGCGGATATAATCGTAGCTAAGGCCGATAATAATAAACCTACTCACTAGCTCTATTATCGAATAAGTAATTAAGTAACCGAAGAAGGTATTCGCTTACTATTCTCCCTATACTTCGATAGCTTTTAGCTTATTTATAATAAGATACTACTTATTCTAGGCGCGTCGTACTTATATCCTCTGGCCTTTAGACTACCTTCTCTGAAACTCCTTATACTCTTCTGAGCCTCTCTATAGTTCTTCCTTATTAATATATTAGTATAGTAAATTAATAGTACGCTCTATATAACTATAGTTTATAAGTAGCCTATCGAATAGTTAAGATATAAGCTCGTACGCCTAAAGCTACTTATAGCTTCGAAGAAGCTAGAGGGCATTCTCAATACTATTAATAAGCTATCTATATACCTCGATATCTCTTAGGAGGTTATCATTATCTATATCGATCAGAATTCGTATATAAAGGTATACAGAGGTATATAAGGGTATAGTGGGGGGGTTAGAAAGAGAGATTTTATAAAGTGAGGTTTTTAAAGTAAAGTTTAGGGCTTTTAGTATTTTATATTCTAATACTTTATAAGGGATTTACTATATAGTCTTTTTAAACTAATAATAAAATTATAATAAATAAAGGAAAATCGTAATAATAAGCGTTTAATCGGTAATAACTAGTAGTAATAAGTATCCTTCCCCTCCTTATTATAATAGGAGAGCTATCCCTTAGCGATATAAATAAGTGTAAGATATAAGGTATTTTAGTGCCTTAGGCGAAGGATCTTTTCGGCCAAAAAAGTATCTCGTAGTATCGGTAAAATAAACGTTTATATAGTAAGATAAAAGAGTTATTATATTACTCTTAGTCAACTAATTAGTCTTCGCTTCCAAAGGTAGCCAGTCTATATAATATCCTATATTCTATCAGAATCTCCTATTCCACGAGGGTAGAATCTTTTAAGTCTATTACTATTAATTATATCCGTATTCTTATCTCTGATATAGTATAGGATAGTACTGTTAAGTTCCCTAATAGAGTAGGATCTATTTCCTTTAATAAACTTAATTTAGTATAGTCTAAGCTATTAAAAGCGGAGCTTCTAAATAGATATTATATCTAAAGACCTTTAACTATTATATAGTAAGATATAGTTATCTTTCTTAAGGGGAGTATCATGAGTGCGATAGTAGTCGTTAAAGTATCCTATATTATTCTTCTTAAGGCGGTTTATTCGTAGGATAGCTTCCTTAATATCCTTCTCTTATCTTTCGATCTATTATATATATATTATAATAAGACTCGGTCTGTCCTAGACAGTCTCCTATAGCAGTATACTCTATATAGGTATCTCTAGTTTAACTAATAAGACTATATATACCCTAAATAGGAAATAATATAGG